AAAGAACTGTAGATTTTACAGCTGACTTTTAGCCTAACATATTGAAAGCTTGTAATGAAGGAAGAGATCCTTGCCGTAGAGTAAAAATTATCGCTACGTGATCAGGAAGTTACGAATTCAAACGATGACAACAATCTTTTGCACAAATACAAGATAAAACTACGTACATAAGACCTAATATGGTCCCGCTATTCTTAGACCCCGTGCACAGTTGAAGTTTAGTGCAAGGAGTTACCTTTTTTTTATTTTTTAAATTGAAAGCTTGTAGAGACACATCATAATTTTTTTTTTTTTTTTGAAGGGACATCATAATATTGTTTGTTGAATAAAACACTAGAAAACTCACTAAAGTCCAAAGTAATAAAAGCATCACTTACCTATAAAAGTAAGTATATAAGAATGACCTTTGTTCCATCACAACCAACATCATTGTCATAATTATTTTATTTACTATTCGTAAAAGCTCATAGTAATGGCATTTTTGGTTACCATTTCTGGTCATGAAAATATTATCCTTTCCAATACCCTAAACAATAACTTTATTTCTGGCTATCTTTATCATTGCCATACGGAGCTCGAAAGCTTGTTACAAAAGTATTTCCACCCATTAGAATAGTACGTTAAGTATGCCTACAATATATCAAAATAAATAGTGTATTAGACAAAATAGAGTATCAGAAAGGAAAATAAAGGAAAGGACTAGGAGGGATAAATCAATGATTTTTCTTTCACTAAATAGAGGCAAATTGGAACTCTTTAAGTAGCGAGTTTAGTGTATTGTTGCACCCAGTGTTTTAAAAGGCTTTTTCGGGGCGAGCCCAAGGGCGAGGTGCACTAAAAACGCCCCGAGGCAATGGTGTGGGGCGAAAGTCTCAAGAGGCGTATGCCCAGCAATTCCGGGAGTACGCCCGGGCGTTCGGGGCGCGTTTTTATAATGAGGTGTAAGCCCCAGAGACGTTTTCAAATTAAAATAAATTTGGTTGAATAAGTTCTTTATATAATACCCAAATTCGCAAAAGTTGGCTTGTAATTCTCAAAGTTTTAAAAAGGAACTGAAATGTATTAATTTTCAAAGTCAAGACCTTTTCAATTGATTGAAGCCCTAATTCATGGTCTTTACCGATTCTTTATCTTGTCCGCTAGTCTGCTAATATCTCTCAAAAATAATGAATATTCAAATTCTTTTTCACATTCTCCTTCATAGCAACAAGTTCAAAGTTCAAATTGCAGGCTAGTCATCCTTTTTGTTCCTCCATGTAGAAAATTTTATTCTTTTCGACTCAAGTTACTTGTGCTTGTAAGTAGTGTATAATTGATTGTTTTGACTAATTTTTTGTAGGGATAGAGCGCACGCGCGGCGCGCACACACACACACACACACACACACACACACACACACACACACACATATATATATATATATATATATATATATATATATATCCACATATGTATAGTTTTCTTCAATTTTTATGCAATTTTACATCTTTATAAATATTTACTGTAATTATATAATTTTATATAGTATTAAAACTTAAATACCTATAGGGCTTACGTCCCGTGCCTCGGGGCTTCGCCCACGCCTTTTCAAACACTAGTTGCACCCAACTATTCTGTGACAATATATGTTAAAAACATAGTATAAATATGTGTTTCTCTAAAAAAAATTCAACTAGATATATAGGTTGAGGTAAATTACTGTCTTACTGACATGATGTACTATTATGAAAGAGTCGTTCCTCTTGTTTTTAAGGTAAAAAAAATTATAATTTTTTTCATGTTTTTTTTTGAAATTTATTTTTTGCTTCTTACTTCTTATATATATTCTGACTTCCGAGTATATTTATAATTTTCTATAAATATTATTGTGGATTATTGATCTCATATCTTGATCAACACATGATTTTTCATCAAGAAGTGTTTTATCACTTAAAGTAGTGCAACATGCCGAAGTCAAATTGACATAGTCAATGAACCAGAATTTTTACCAAGAAAATACAAAAAGAAAAAGAAAAAGAAAAAGAAAAAGAAAAAAATAAAACGTAAACATGCGAATAAGCTGAGGGGATTCGGGATTTCATCCCCTAGTGCTTTCTGTCCTTCTGAGGGGTGAAAGCGAGATTGAATGCTCTAAGCTGAGTGTAAGGGTAAGGTCGAGATAGTCTTGACAATTCATCTACCTTGTTTGTGAGGTATTATTATTAGAATTCACATTATTATATTAGGTAATAATCGCCTTATTTCTGTCTTGTAGTACTGTCGGTCTAAGGAGAGGAATAGAAGTAGTCGTCTTGCTTCTTTTCTTTGGATTTGCTTATGTCTCTACTTCGCTTGATTCTCATGCCAAGAGGGATGGACGTGTTCGCGTATGCATCTATTTTTGAAATCTCAATAAAGCATGTTCCCAAAGATGATTTTCCGTTGCCGAACATTGATTTGCTTGTGGACAAGACTATTGTGAAAGTATGCCTACTACTCTTTTCTGACGATTCGAAATTCTCGTCGGCGGCTTCCTCGAGGTAGAGTTCGTTTTGTAATAGGAGACCCGTATGACTTTTACGGAGCTTGGCCTGCTTTCGCATTAACTCACCATTTGGTGATTTGGTTCGTAGCAGCCCAAGTATATCTATGGAAATGGAGATCGTCCAACATTATGTTCCAGCACTGCCCCTGAATTAATCAACCAAGTAGAAGTTGAAGTTCAGTTGGAATCCATATAGTCTAGTAGTTTTTTACTATGAATAGCCCCCTATTGTTGATAGAGAGCTTACCGCCCCGCCCTTTATAGTCGCGACTGTTGTCATGGAAAAATATGTGTACATGACAAAACAAATTTGTTCTTATATACAAAGTATAATTTTTGAGCAAACCCCTCGATTCGGCTAAACCCCCTTCCACCCACCTAACTCCACCGTGCATGGAGTTAATTAAATTAGGTTTGATCAAAATCTTCAACTTATAAGATTTTAATGTAGTTAGTCATTCACTTAAAGTGACGCAATTAACTTATACACAAAAGTCAAATTGACACCTTTAGTGAACAAATGGAATTGATCAAATCAATTCAAACTCGTGGACCTTTTTCTTTCTGTCTTTTCCTTCTTATCCAAGTGTAACTCTGTGCATAAATCAATTCAAACTTCTTTAAAAAAAAAAAAAAAAAAAAGACAGCCTGGTATACGAAGCATCATGTGTTTACACAAGGTTCGAGGAAGGGCGCTCCCTGAGAGGTGCGATATAGGCAATCTACCCTGATGCAAGGATCGATAGCTGATCCACGACTCGCATCTATAACTTATAAATCACGCGAAAACAACTTTACCATTACTCCGAGGCTTCCCTTAATCAATTCAAACTTCTTAATCAATTGAAACTTCTTAAATGGTCTAAACTCTAACTTTAATTTTCTTTCCAACCAAACCAAGCCCCCCTATAGAGTCATTACATGGTATGGTACAACAACAACTACCCAGTGGAATCCCATAAGTGGGGTTTGGAGAGTGTAGTATATACGCAGACCTTACCCCTTATCCCTGCTCCGGAGAAGTAGAGAGGCTATTTCCAATAGACTCTCGGCTGACGACGATGGATTACATGGTATGGTAGTATAACGAAAAAAGAACCTCTTACAATTCCACTTATTAAAACAGTAATATACCCTTTTTTGTGCTTTTCTTTAGAACCTTGCCTCCTTATGATTCTAAAGTTTGATGTCTCCAAAGTAGCGTCTATGTCAGTTTTGGAGTTTCTGAATTATAATCCAGTATTTAGTTTGTCTCTGCAGGCTATGGAATCTCAATTTTGTATTTACCCTTCTATTTTAAATGGGTTTTGCTTTTCATTAGCTGCTAATATCCTCGTAAACGAACTTCCGAACATCCTCTATTTACACCAAATCATATTAATTTATCATGATAAATTAATTAACTATGGCTTCATATGTAAAGACACAAAATATGTATTTACTGAATTGGTGTAAATACAAAATTTATTCTTTATAGCCTCCTGCTTTGAATGTTACTTATGAGCATAACTATCAAAACAAATTCCTTGCCAAACTGGGCATATATTAAAAAACAAATCCTTTGACCTTGAATTTCTGGTCCATGAACCATGATATTAAATAGTGCAGTAGCTAGCTTTTGATTTTGGAAAAAAACTTTATTCTCTCTCTCTCTCTCTCTCTCTCTCTCTCTCTCTCTCTCTCTCTATATATATATATATATATATATATATATATATATATATATATATATATATATATAATAGTGCAGTAGCTAGCTTTTGATTTTGGAAAAAAACTTAATATTCTCTCTCTCTCTCTCTCTCTCTCTCTCTCTCTCTCTCTCTCTCTCTCTCTTCTCTATATATATATATATACATATATATATTATATTATTATATATATATTATACTATATATATATATATATTTGGACTGTAATAGAAACAGTGGCAGTCTACACATCCACCAACATAAATTTATTGAATCTTTAATTACCCACTTTATGAAATTTATGAAGATACTCTCAAGAAAAAGTAGAATTGATAATTTCTTAGCTATTAGTCAAAGAATTGCAGATTTTAGGTAGATCTGACTTTTAAGTTTTAGCCTAACATATTGAAAGCTTGTATTGTTGAAGGAGTGTAAAAATTGTCGCGATGTGACCAACAGATTACGGATTCAGCTGTGATAACCACCTCTTACTAAATGCAAGATAAAAACGCGTAAATAAGAATCAATGTGATCTAGCCATCCTTAGACCCCGCGCATAGTTGAGGTTTTATGATAAAAATGCGTAAATAAGAATCAATGTGATCTAGCCATCCTTAGACCCCGCGCATAGTTGAGGTTTAATGATAAAAATGCGTAAATAAGAATCAATGTGATCTAGCCATCCTTAGACCCCGCGCATAGTTGAGGTTTAATGCACCGGGTTTGCTTTTCTTTTTTCTAATTGACAGCTTGTAGAGACACACCATAATAATTTTTATTGAATAAAACACTAGAAAACTCACTAAAGTCCAATTCGTAATTGAGGGAATAATTATAATCCTTATGCAAGAGGAATAAAAGCATCACTTACCTATAAAAGTAAGAGTATATAAGAATGGCCTTGTTCCTTCACCACCAACATCATTGACATAAAAACTTTCTTCAATATTCTTGAAAGCTCATAACAATGGCATTTTTGGCTACCATTTCTGGCCATGAAAATATGCTTCTTTCCAATACCCTAAACAATAACTTTATTTTCAGTGGAAAACCTCCACAGAGACATTCTTATAGTTTCCTCCCCAAGAAAATCCAGGCTAGAAGTGTTGCAAACTCATCCAAAACATTTCAAGTCAAAGAAGAAGAATTCTCATCAAAGACAGAGAAATTCATCTTGCCTATGTTTGACTTTAAAGAATACATGAAAATGAAGGCAATTAAGGTAAACAAAGCACTAGATGATGCAATACCAATGCAAGAGCCTATAAAAATTCATGAAGCCATGAGATACTCACTTCTAGCAGGTGGAAAGCGCGTCCGGCCGATCCTTTGCATGGCTTCTTGTGAAGTAGTAGGAGGGGATGAATCCTTAGCTATTCCTGCAGCTTGCGCGGTTGAGATGATCCACACCATGTCACTCATCCACGACGATCTTCCTTGCATGGATAACGATGATCTACGTCGTGGCAAGCCCACGAACCACAAGGTTTTCGGGGAAGACACTGCAGTTCTAGCAGGGGATGCACTTTTGTCTTTGGCCTTTGAACATGTAGCTACCAAGACTAAAGATGTGACACCCCAAAGAGTGGTTCAAGCCGTTGGCGAATTAGGTTCAGCCGTTGGCTCGAAAGGGCTTGTGGCGGGGCAGATTGTGGACTTAGCTAGTGAGGGAAAACAAGTGAGCCTAACTGAATTAGAGTACATTCACCACCATAAGACAGCGAAACTTTTGGAGGCGGCTGTGGTTTGTGGGGCAGTAATTGGGGGAGGGAATGAGATTGATGTGGCGAGAATGAGGAACTATGCTAGATGCCTTGGCCTGTTGTTTCAAGTGGTAGATGATATTCTTGATGTTACTAAGTCATCAGAAGAGTTGGGAAAGACAGCTGGTAAAGACCTAGTGACTGATAAGGCTACATATCCTAAGTTGATGGGGCTTGAAAAAGCTCGGGAGCTCGTCGGAGAGCTGGTGGCTAAGGCCATGGATGAGCTGAGCTACTTTGATGCCGCCAAGGCGGCACCTCTTTATCATTTTGCTAATTATATTGCACATCGCCAGAATTGATTGACTGAAAAGTTCATGGTGAAGACACTGTGTATACATAAATGTAATAGAACTGAACTTCAGGTCATATTTCTACTTATGGATCCAAGTAAAAGAAAATGAAACATGGGTAATAGAGAGACCTAAACTTTTACCTGGTAACTAAGTGGGACATTTTTTATGTGGGAATTCAGGGATCACCTAAGTTGCTCCGACGAGGCAGTTTAGGTACCGCACCCGTGTTGACACGACACTAGTGTAGGTGTGGGTATGGGATTTGTACCGGATTTGGTCAAATAGTTTTGGGTACTTTGACCACGACTGACGGAAAAATTAGATACGAAATACAATTTGATTCGAGAAATCAGAACTAAAACTAGAGTAAATTTAAAGAAAATAGCATATTATATCTAGGATATCATCATTTACTTATCTACAACTTGAGAATAAAAAAGCAATCCCCACTTTACAAGCTATATGTAAGTATTCCACAAAATTCTTTTTAGCCGGATCCCCGCACCCATATCTGTAATAGGATCAGTATCCCCGAATCTTAGAATTTACATCTCGAAGGATCCAACATCTAGATCCGCACCGGTGACGGACACCCCCACCCGTGTCCAAGCAACTTAGGGGATCACATAGAGCTTTGGAAGTTGTCAGATCCAACAGTATTTTCACTAGACAGAAATCCAAACTATCTAGGAGTATGCACGGAAAAGAAATTTAAACATGCTTTAATCACAATAAATCTGCATTTTGCAGCATCATTCAACAAGAACTTCTCACCAAGAATTTTGATCTTCCTGCGATTCAATGACAGATGCTCTCTACTATTCCCTCATGGGCTATTTTCTCATTCTTTTTACAACGTTCGTGTCCAAGGCAATGTGGCACATTTCGACTATTCTAGTGGGGTACCTGCTACCTTCTACCAATACAGGGAAGCAAAATTAGAAACATGAAACCTCAATGAAAACTAAGAGTAAGTTCAGCTATCTAAACATTGATCAAATTAGATGTCATAGGTATAGGCTTTAGCTCAACTGCCTTTATCATTGCTATAGCCTATATTAATAACTACTAACGATAGTCACCAGATGTTGCCAATATTGCATGGAATTTCAATTCATGGATCATCCTATACATAGCTCGAAAGCTTGATAGGAAATTATTTCCAACGAATGAAATTACACATTAATTAAGTATGACAACGATTTATATAACTTTTAATTCTTTTTGAAGATCACGAAAAGTCACATGTAAAATAGAAATTATCACAGCTCAAAAACTTACCCTTGGCAGAACAAACTGTATCATAGTTTTCCTCAGGTACTAATACTATGCATTAGGGAAGGCGTAAATCCCAACCAATTGCAAGTTCCCAGTGTCTCTTTTGATTGAGGAACAGTTTTCACTGGAAACAACTAATCCAATAGTAAAATAGACCTCTTGACAGAGGATATCAGAGGGTTTAGCACTATATTGGAATCTTCTAACATATCTCTTGCACCACATGGTATAAATAGAGGTGGCGCGAAGCAGTTCCAGAATACAAGTGCTAAAGGATTCACGAGCAGAGAAAGCGTTTTTAACAAGGATGCTGCACAAAGTGGCCAACATTAATGCTATACTGTTAACATTCCTTACCTGACAAAATAACAACTTTTGCATACACAACAGAGCATCTGGATGTATGTGTTACTTATATTATTCATGCTATCATTCAGTCAAATAAGGACGAGAATGTGTTTTAATCAAAGTATACATGGCAAAGAACAGTCATAGAGACTTTCAAATGCTAGCTTACTATATATACCTTGCAACAAAAACCTAATCCTCAAAAGTGCAAAAGATGATGATATCATTTGTCTAACCCATGACTTTTGGTCGCCAACCCTCAATTACATCCTCTTTCAGCGCCCGCGTGTTGATGAATGATTCCCTGGAGAATATACTCTGAGCACAAAACAAATCAAGGTATAAGAACCTATTAAGTTGGCAACTGTCTCACCAGATCGAGAAATGGATGAATTAGTATTTTCTACTTAAAAAGAAATTTCTTTAGCTTTCATCTTTGATCTTGTCTAATTTCTCTATTTATTCTTCTTTTTTGGTATTTGTTAGGATTTGTGGGAAGAAGAGAATCTTAGGAGGTATAGGAAGACGAGAGAGTGTAATGAAAACATAATAACTTAGAGGAACCCTAAATCCTCATTCTATGAGTCGTAATTCTCTTTCTCGATACACCTCCAAATACTTGTGAATCAAAGCCAAAGCAAATTTTAGGTTTCAATGCGACTTTAGGATCTTCAACTTAAAGATAAAACAAAAACACATACTCAGAAAGTGTATTGAGATACTAAGAGAGTGCATTGCACATATACAGATTCATCAGACGGTCAGGAATTGAAATTATTCATAGCCTATAAAACTGAGCTGGAGATCGATTTTTTATTAATGGAAACTGCCTGCCATTTTATTTTTATAAAAATCTACCAACCCAGACACAGACTATTTCTTAGGCCAAAATCTCAACTTTTGAGACTGACAAACAAAAGAATATAGCAACATGTGTGAACTTCCTATAACATTCACTGGGTATCAGAGGCTATGTTGAAGAATTATTGCGATAACAAGGATCAATATAATTACTTAAAATGATAATGAAGATAACCTAAAAAGGAGATGCATAAACTTTGTATACCTTCATGTACGACTTCACGTAGGGAAATGAATCTGGAACAGACCAATTCTTATAATGCCCCAAAGCTATTTCTAAATGGTAAAGTTTTGGTCCAAGCGACAGATCCGCAGCAGATACCTCATTTCCATTTATAAATGGGCCCTTCAAGCAAAAACAAAGAAAAACTTCGTCAACAGTTGCTAGAAGCTGGAAGGAATACGATTAGAAGTAACCTATTTGAAAAACATTTGCGTAAGTCAAAGAACATTTGTGTAATTCAGCAAATTCACAGTTCCCACAAGCCAGGACATAGTTTTCCCTCAATAACAAGGGCATTTCATTAAAAGGATCTTTTGGCTTTCACACGAAAGGGAGACTGAAGAAAACGTCATTTTGGCTTATTTTTTTTCATCTTACTCCTTAACTTTCTTGCTGTTATACCAATCTTAGAGATTCTAGCAGTATTGGTGCAAACTTGACTTTGATTTGGAGAAGATTAAAAATAAATAAAAATTGAGGTAACAAAAGATAAACGTGTATGTCTCAGCCCAATTTGCTAGGGCATACTGGTTTATTGATTTTCCTGCATTTGCCAAACTAGGCCAAGACCAATCTAAGTATTTGCCCGACCTAAGTAAACCGAACAAATTGCAGGTAAAACAAGAGGGGAAACCACTCAATCTAACTTCAGCATAATTCTGTACAAAATGTAGCTAAAATGGCAACCAGAGAAATAAATGATAGACCAAAATAGCACCAGTTCAACTGGGAGAAGAGCGTACTTCACTTTTTTTTTAATAAGTAAAGAAGAGCATGAATTACATTTAGATAATGCAAGAACAAGACCTATGTAATGTTTCCAAAGCAATTGAACAAACAAAAACGCAAACCTTCCTCATACCCAAGTAGTCATCAATTTGAGGATCTTGGCAAAGCCAATTAAACATGGCCAAAAGGCAAGATTTTATTTCTTAATCTTCTCCAGCAAGGGATATACGGGTAAGTTATAAAGACTTATCTGTTTATTAGCCATAAGATTTTATTCCTAAATCTTTCCAAAAACATTATGTTATGCCTTTTTTCTATGATGAATTTTTAATGCTCGACGGCCTCTCGTATTATCAAATTAAGGCATGTCGCTCACTCTGATAAACTAAGAACGTAGAAAAGCAAAAGAAATTGATTGTTCAGAATGTAGGGTATGCTCTTCTCACCGTAAAATTCATAAACGGCATAATATAAACACAAGCATCGCCCACATATACAGATAAAATTCAATCACTTACATTTTCTTTAAGGTAATCATTGAAAGCTGTCAGCTCATCAAGTAATTCCTGCTCTGTTCCATCACTCGGGTCTTTGCTTTTCAGAAAAGCAACAAACTTTGGAAAGATCTTTGATCCACTACAAGAATATGAAACATAATGAGATACAATTGTGCATCAAAATGCAAAATAATTAGTACTTAGATTCTTCATAGGCAGACACAATATGAAAACTGCACATCAATGATCACGACAGGTAAAACCTACACGGAAGCCTTCTCGGGAGGAGTTGTCAGCGGAGGTTGAGGGAACTTCTCCTCGAGTGCCTGTGTGATGACATCTGAATCCGGAACCCATTTCTCATCAAGCTTTATTAGTGGAACTTTACCTTCAGGACTTATCTTCAAGAACCTAGATAAATTGTTATACAAAGAATATCAGTTACTTCAAAATGTACAATTTGAAAATAACAACAACAACAACAACAACAAGCCCAGAGAAATCCCACAAGTGGGGTCTGGGAAGGGTAAAGTGTACGCAGAGACCTTACCCCTACCTACCGAAGGTAGAGAGGTTGTTTCCGAAAGACCCTCGGCTCAAAGGACAACTCGAAAATAATAGTACTAAATTATCACCCTATGTGGCAATAACTAACTTAGGTATAAGGATGTTAAAACTAACCATTCTGGCTTGTTTCTCAAATCAACATACTTCATGTCATATGGAAGGTTCTTTTCCTCCAAAGTCAGCAAAACCCTTTGCGTAAAGGGGCCTAAATGAAGAAACAAAAAAGGGAAGCAATGTGACTCCAAAATCTCAATTCAAAATGTTGTTCTTTTACAAATGCAAACAGCAACTATAACTATGCGATAGACCCAAACAAACTAGGGTAGGCTATATGAATCATCACTTCTCCATTTTAGCTCAATCCCATATCATCATTATACAACAACAACAACCCAGTTTAGTCCCACACACAAGTGGGGTCTGGGGAGGGAAGATAGTACGCAGACCTTACCCCTACCGTGAATGTAGAGAGGTTGTTTCCAGTAGACCCTCAGCACGAGGAAAGGTGATAAAAATAAAAGTGAAAAAAAAAAAAGTTAAATGTATATAAACAATAGCAATAATAATGACAACAATACTATTATTATAGTAATACTGTCTTTTACTAATGCCACAAGTGCTATAGTGTGTAGCTATGATTAACAAGCTAGTCCAGAAAGAAGGATAATCAACTAAAATGTTCCCACTAAATACTTCATGTACGATATCTGCCCCAACAACAACAACAACAAAATCCAGTATAATAGTGAGGTCTGGGGAGGGTAGTGTGTATGCAGCATTATCCCTACCTTGTGAAGATAGAGAGGTTATTTTCAATAGACGTACCCTATCTGCCCCAGTAAAACAAAATTCTAACAGAAAAAATTGTAAACATTTGGAGTTCCCACATTTTATCAGTAGCAAAATTATTCTTAGGAATGATAATATTCTCATAAAACACTAAATTTTAGTATAATCAAGAACTGCTTCTGTGACTTTACTGTACCACAAATGAATAAGCATTAAGCAATAAACACCAAGAATATAATTATCAGAACTAATAAATATTATAAATGAAATAAGGGTTAGCAATTGAGGAATTTTGACATACAGTCGCCGAGCTTGTTCGGGGTAGTAACTGACTGTTTGACACAAATCTCAAGAGGGGCCATTGATATTATAGTAAAAGCTCTTCTGGGGGCTATAAATTTGGGGCGTTGGATGTTGGCAAAGTGTTTGATAGAGGTTGAAAATGCAGCTGCCGATGGTGTTATCTTCACTGTCGACATTTTGCGCACTCCTATTTTTGCTGCGGAAGGCTGTAGGCCTAAAATTTAGCAACGTGGGTGAAGTGACAGTGTTGGTGATTTGATTAGTGGACGTGTGGCAATTAGCAATGGTAGGTTAGAGAGCCCAAGATATGGTGTGGCGTGGAATTCAGTTTTAGTGATATTATTACTTTTAGCTTGCCAAAAACTATTTATATTCATAGTCGAAAAAGTGAAAAAGTATATAAAATTTATATAATTATTATATATAATATACAAATATATTTTTGATTATTATTTTGAGATTGATTATGCAGTGTCATTTTCCTTCAATTTTATCTCTGAGGGCTTTATAAAGATGAATCTAGACATGATAGTGGGATTGAATAAGAGTATTTTTACAAGTGAGGCTTGCTCGGTTGGTACAACCGTTAGGTTCTGGGTTCGAGTCACATTGGAGCGGAGTGTGAAAACACTATAAATCTGTTGGGTGTGTGAACAAAGTACCACATTGGTAGCTGAAAAGATTGGGAGTCTACATATAAGGTGTAGGGATCTCTTAGTGGTGTGAGGCCTTTTGGGAAAAACCGTGCGGGCTTGGCCCAAAGCGAACAATATCACACCATGTTAAGAGTGTCATTGGGCCGTTTAAGCCCAACAAAATCCTCCTAAATTGGGAGAAATTTTGAAGAAGAAAAAAATAAAAAATTACCCTTAATTAGAATTGGTAAGTATGCTCTAAGCAATCGCATTCTTAAGGTGATCGTCAAAATTTGTGATAAAAAGTCCTGGTGCTTATAGTAATCGTCAGAATTCCTGATAGTTTCGAGATTTTATTTTCACAAAAATCTTCTTAATGGGATCCAAATATCCATCCAGCGTAGTTTGCGTCCAAACTTCCATATGAATGTGTACAAGTTAGAATGTTGGGCTTCTCATTCCCAAGAAATTTTGTTAAATGTTGTTCGTGCTAACCATTGTTGGACTAAAATAAATAACTAGTATTTGAAAATTTAATGAAAAGATAGTTACTTTTAATGCGAAAACACCATGATAGTATCATTGGTTTCAATTTTTAAACACCTGATTTTTGAAATCCATCCATGATCCATAATAGTGTTATGGGTTTCGAACTTAAAAAAAGTGAAACTCTATAATAATGCCTTAGATTTCGTCCAGGATGCTATTACGGAGTTTCACTTCTTTAAGTTCGAAATCAATAACACTATCATGACTTTTTAAAAGTCATAAATTAGCTATTTTTCAATGAATTTAGGGTGTGTTTGGTATAACGGAAAATGTTTTCCCTTCTCTTGATAAGGAAAACATTTTCCTCCAATTGGAAGAAAATGAGTTGATAAGGAAAATATTTTCCAAAATATCTAAGTCGACCAAACATGGAAAAATTGAAAAATATTTTTCGAAAAATATTTTCCTTCGTACCAAACACACCCTTAGTTTCAATTACAAATTCCAAAAGAAAAATGACTATTTTGAACTCTTACCGAAAATTTGGGTTGGATGCCGCGAAAGGCCCATTTTTATTTTTATTTTGTCCATATCCCACACCGGCAATCTATGTTTTGAGTTTTGACCTCATTGTCTACCCAATAGCATTATGGGCGGGCGAGTGCAACGAGAGCCACTTTTAAGCATATTATTTAAAATATATCCATAATTTATAATGTATTTAAAGATTAGTCAATTCACTTAAACTTCAGGATTAAGTATTGGATATAAGATTCGAATTCTAGGTACAATTTTCAAACTTTAGAACACGATGTCTTAAAATTTGAATTTTGGGGTTTAAACTCTAGGACGATGTGCCCTAAAGTTTGAGCGAAATTGTCTAATCTTTAAATAAATTGTTAACTGTAAATATGTTTTAAATAATATGCTTAAAAGTGGCTACCTGGTGTCATTTTCACTTAGAGCCCATTTGGATTGGCTTAAAAAAAGTGGCTTTTAAGCACAAGTGCTTAAAAGCACTTTTTTAGTGCTGGGGCTTATTTCTTAAATAAGTAGTTACGCGTTTGGATAAAAGTGCTGAAGCTGAAAAAAAGTTGTTGAAGTGTTTGGTAAACAATTGCTGGTAAGCACCTTTTCTGTTAAAATGACTGAAATATCCTTAAAGCTGTTAACACTAAAAATGAGCTTATTACTACAACATCCTTAATGTAAAATTAACTCAAACACGGATTAATTTATGTCTTAATTAACTTTAAATCAATTTAACTAGATAAGATTATATTTAATAAATATAAACCATATGCCAATAGAATTGCAACATGCTTCTGTTATGAATATTCAGTGTAATTAAGGGTCTTATTAATTGCCTATCACAGAAAAAACCAACATACCTAATTTATTATATTGCAGCTTGTAATAAAACTTTCTATTCTTATTTTCTAAGTCACAACTTTAATCCTACCAGACGTACCGTTCAAAAATACCGAAAAAGATGAGATGAAGGTCTAATACGAAGGAAGAAAAGTTATAATAATGTGAAGAAAGATAACTACAATGTCAAAATGGAAGACGTGAAAAAAATGACGTTATGACTTATGTAGTAAAGTAAGGGTATTCTGGAATTTACATAAAACATCAGGAATAATAAGGTCAATTACTTGGTCAAACATAAAAAGCTTTTAAACCAAAAAGCAATAAGTTGGGTATCCCCAACTTGTGGCTTTTGGCTTAATTCAGCTTAAAAGTTGTTTTTAGGTTTGCCAAACACTTAAACAAGGCAAAATGTGCTTTTAAGCTGATTTGACCAGCTTTTAAGCCAATCCAAACACCCTCTTATAGGCCTGCATTGGATCATATCATCTTTATACTCTGCTGATTTCCATTAATTTGTAAACAAATGAACCCTTTTTTATCTTCGATAAACAAATGAACCTAATGAAAAAGAAATAAGTACAACTTCTTTTATATGGCTACTAGTTTATCTCACGAAGGTTAAAATGTAATAAGCAAATTAATCATTAGATATAAAATTATAGCTTGATTTTCCAGTTTACCAAACAAGAATATTTGAGGGAAAATAAAATTATTTACTTTTCAAGTGCAGATTAAATTACTTTATATAATTTATTAAATACTTATTATATAGGCATTTGGTATTTGATTATATGTAATAATATCAAATTCGACTTAATAAACACATAAATGATCTTCAATGCAAGTGATTATGAGCCCGTTTGGCCATAAAAAAAGGGGTATTATCACTTTTAGTCCGCGCTCGAAACTATTTATATTTGGTAGCAGAAAAGGTGTATAAAATTTGTATAATTTTTGTTTATAACATACCGAACGTTTATATATACAACAAATATACAAATTTTATATATTTTTCATCTATTATCTTTACAGCGGCTATATAGTGTCATTTTCTGTAAAAAAAAAAAATTGTTTTTTTTCGAAATCAGTGTTTGGCCATAAAATTTTCAATTTTCACTTGAAGATGAATTTTTAAATTTTTTGAAAATTTGAAAAACTCCAAAAAACTGTTTTTCAAAATTTTTACTCATATCACTCACAAAATTCTAAAAAAACCAAAAATTATATTCATATCCAAATGCAACTCTAATTTTCAAATGTTATTTTCACTTGTTTTTTTTTTTTTACTTTTTTTCGAAATTTACGATTCTTATGTCCAAACGCCTATATGGTCTATTATCGACTAATGTTAACACGAATAATCAAACAGTTTGACCAAAAAAATCATAATCAAAACCATGAAGATTGTTTAACCAAAAAACTGAATATTTGGTTAAAACTAGAATTTAATAGAGAAATCGGGTTACTGATAATCAAGAAATAAGAGATTTTGAGAACAACAATAAATCAATGAATAAGAATATATTTCAATATAATCGGAATGATATTTCTCCCCTTACAGATGTTGTGACTTTCTCCTTTTATAGTTAATTCTAAGGAAAAGTGTAATGCATTTGTCTTAATGAGGCAATTACGAGCAGTAAATGACATTAAAAGAAACGTTATTCAATCATTCTTATTAAATACAAATTCTCTAACGTATTTGGCATTTAATGTTGAATTTGGACTCTTTTACGCTATCAGATTCATATCTTCTGATCTTCGAGCTTTAAATGGCTCGAACAGGTACGAGTCTCGTTTCATCTAGATAATAGCTCGTGCCTTTAAGTATCTTCTCTCCCGCATCTATTGTTGCTCGTGCCTTCTGACTGTTTGCCATGCTTTGACTATTTGACCGGTCCACGTGTCATGACATGTCATCTTCAATATTTAAATTCAGTTTTTCTCCAATACAGATAGTCCCCCCACTTTCTATTTATTTATCAATTAAATATTTGGGAAGTGGATCTTCATTAAAAAGGGAATTTTTGCCATAATTAATGCTATGACAGTACTAACGCTTCAGTTGTCTTTTCTATTTAATGCATCGCACACGTGTCTCCTTCTCATTAGCTGTGTAATTCTGCAGCCTTTTTTCAAGGCTTCTTCAACTCCACTATTCACGAAGTGATAGTTGCCTTTATTATAGGCTTTCCATCATTACATTTTTTAATCTTTGACGGTTGCTTTTATATAAACTTAACCCCCCTTCCACAAATTTTTACCTAATATTCCACTATTTACTTCTATTCACTTCTTCCTCTGTTCACGTCTTTCTACCATGTCATCTTCAAATCCCAACCCTAGGAGAGTCCCAATTCTTGACAGTTTCCCCAATGCCCCTGTGAGACATAGAAGGGGTAGAGGGGGTAGACTTCGTGGCCTTGGATCCATTCGTGGTGGTACCTCTGGTTCCATCACTCCTTCTTCTAGCTCTGGTATTATTTCTAGAAGTTCTTTCATTAATAGATCTTCCTCTAAAGGCAAAGAATCTTCTGAGTCGATGCAAGAACATTTGGTCGAAGAAATAGTGCCAACTGATTTATCTTTCGAGCATGATAAAGAATCCCTTCATGACCAAGTAATTAAATTAGAGAGAGCTGACACTTATCCTTCTTTAATTAGTGAACCCTTAATTTCCACTGTTCGAAAAGATTGTCGTTGGAGAGATGACCTTCATATAGTTATTCCTAACCCAAACCAGAGAATATCTTCTTATAGGATTGGTTTTTCCTCTGTTTATACTTATCCCTTTACTTT